AGTCAAGCACGGCCTATATTGTGCTCATTTGTGTTAACTTATTCATTGGAATCAACACCACGCTTGCGACATTCATTCTGGAATTCTTCACCGACGATCAGGTAAGAAACTCGGAATCATTACAGTAAAAATCCACGAGTAAGAACGTACATTGTTCCAGCGTTTCTTACATAAATGGTGGTTAACATAAATTTAGGCTATCTAGGTTCTTAATTTCTTGCAAAAAAGTATGTCGTTGCTAAGAAGATTTTAGTGATTAGCACCCTTAAATTTGCATACCTAATGATTGCTTGTATTTTAATATGACCATAATAGAGATCTATTCTCACATGAATTTTAATTTATTGAGTCAAAACAACTTTATATACATGATTGTGCTGTAAAGCAAAATATTATAAACATTTTCTCAATGACCTAAGTAAATATTTTTAAATGGTTTTTGAAAATAAGAACCTTTCTCCAAGTTTTAGGCTAAAGAGGTTCTTATATAGAGGGGGTCCTAATGGCAAATTTTAGCCTAACAGGTTCTTAGATCTTAGGTTCTTACTCGTGGGTTTTTACTGTATACATTTCTAGTTCTCACTTTGAGCAAAATGTTGGTTCAGGGGAGGGGTAGGTGGGCACTTTCCCAGAGACGTATAATGATCGGAAACTGGTCTCCTAATCTTGAGGGTAGCAGTAAGCGATGACCTAACCTGTGGTCTATCATGTTAAAGCTACTGAGCAGTACTTTCCTGTGGTACTGTTTATTATGCTGTACTAGGAGGTTCCAACTTTTGAGTCTGTGGAGGAAATTCTTAAGTGTGACCATTCAAATGAAAGCTACTGAGCAGTACTTTCCTGTGACACTGATCAATACGCTGCACAAGGTGGTTCTTACTGGTGTTGGTATTTATTTATTTTTTTCTTTCTGAAAGGAACTGATTCAAATCAACGACATGCTAAAGACAATCTTCTTGATTTTTCCCAACTACTGTTTGGGTCGTGGACTGATCGATTTGGCCAAGAATCAGTTCATGGATGTCTTTGAGAGGTTTGGTAAGTTTCCAAACTTTTCCATGAGTTTAAGCATCAACTGCCCCTCTTGTCGCCATTAACTGTTTACAGTTTCTCATTTATTTTTTCTTTCAATTGTTCGTTTACGCTTTTCATTTTAGGCGTTAATCTTGTTCGAGATCCTTTCAGTTGGGATATTACAGGAAGAAATATTTTCATGATGATCATTCAAGGATTTTTGTTTTTCGTCATCACTGTCCTCATCGAGTACCGTTTCTTTATTCCTCAAAGGTTGGTGTATTTTTAATGCCTTGTTTGAGAGTCATTTTCGTAAACTAAAGAAACAGCTTACTTGCATAGTATTCTTAAAATACGTTTTGCCAGTTCACGTATTGCACGATTTATGTCAAGTTTTGGTGTACTAGTTTGCTAAAACTAAAAGCGAAATTCAGGCCTTGAGGATCTTGTGTTCTGTGCATCGAAGTCGTCATGTGATCTCGTTTTACTTGAATTTGTGTAGCAAGCGTTCCCTTTCACTTCGTTGGGTAGTGCCTTTTACGCAGGCTAAGAAACCCTTTTCGAGTTACTCGAAACCTCTTTTTTAGTGCGAAGTCTTCGATGTAAAACGGTCATCTTCTGAAAGGTTTTTCCATATCATTTGCTTGCCCTCGCGTTGAATTCAAAGGTTTTTGGAAATCGGATATAGCCTAAATTCCTGTTTGCTGTGTTTTGCTGCATCTTCTCCACCTTGCTTACGGGCACTTCAAAAAGATGCACTTTATTGGAGTGTTAATGTATTGAGCACGAAAGCACTAATTGGGGACATATATTTTCGTCTCCTTCTGGAGAGGGGACCGCCATTTTACTTGGTCATCCCAGCCACGCGAAGGTCTAACCATTTGCAGAGGAAAGGTAGTACCTCCATTTCTCAGTTATTTTAAGACCCTGAGTATTGGTCCGACCAGGGGAATCGAACTCTCCACCTCCCGCTCTGCAGTCAGGCGCTTCACCGACTGAGCTAATCCTGCCGATTTAAAGTAATTTGAGACGTTTCATTCTCATTTCGCCAGGCGCGTTAAAGTGTCACTTAAACCAGTGCAGAACGAGGATGATGACGTCGAACGAGAAAGACAGCGTATTGAAAGAGGAGGAGGAACCAACGACATTTTGCGACTGAACAATCTGACTAAGGTAACATACAATACTTCATCACTTCCAGGGTGTTCGTAATGTCAATAAAGAACTAATTGGCCATGTTCAAAACGAGCGAAAAACTGGTACGACTCAATGATCGCAAAGGGTTAAGGGATCGGTTGGAGGGACGACAAAAATAAACAATCCCAAGAAGCTTTGTTGTCGCGTATCGTAACCAATTTTTGGGTTCAAATCTCGGAAGCGACCCTATTTATAGCCGGGTTCAGTTTGTTGTTGGTTCTCGTTCATACTGTGAAAGGTTTTTCTTCGATGACTCCGGTTCGCCGCTGTCCTCAAAGACCAACAATTCCAAATTCTATTTCGATTACTTCCCAACTCTTTGCAACTCTTTATCACAGCTATTCCTCTGTTATTATCAATGAATATAAAGCGCTTCGAAACTCTACATACCTTTAATGTTCGCGAGCAACGATTGTCTATATAACTGAGTCTTTATACGTACATTCGTGTTTTAGGTGTACAAGTCTAGAAAAAGACGAAACGTAGCTGTCAACAGACTTTGCGTCGGAGTCCCCAAAGGCGAGGTGAGACGTTTTGAAAAACAATGAAGCCTTGTTTAGTCTTTCTTGTGTAATGATTAAAGCTGTGCATTTCACAAGCTTGCGATCACATCCTCACCATATCTCTATATGGCCCTCGGAAAGGAGGGCGTTCTTTTTTTCCGATGATTTTTACAAGGTTTATTAAAATGTGCGTTGAAAGGGCATGAAAAAACCAGACGTTTCGAGGGTGCTCCCTCCCAGTGGTTTAAAGCAACTTAAAAAAGAACGCGCCATGAAATGTTTTTTTTCCCCTGCTCTTACCAATCGCCAGATCACAAGTTAGCACTTTACAATCTATTAAACCCGGGGTAAGAGAGGGGGTAAATTGAAACATTCTGAACTCTTTGCTCAACTCACGTATCATATCCAGTGAGTTCAAATGACACTTTTACGTTACTTTTTAGTGGTTTTAAACGCGTGTTGTTTTGTTTTTCTCTATTCTAGTGTTTTGGCCTGTTAGGTGTGAACGGAGCTGGCAAAACCACCACTTTCAAAATGCTTACAGGAGATATATCAGTGACCGAAGGAGAGGCGTTTGTTGATGGCCACAGGTAAACAAACTGAAATTGGTCATATCACTCTCATTTCTCATTTCTCCATTTGCAGCCCCTTGGAATTCCTTCACGTTTCCAACTTCGCGTTCGCGTTTCGTCCAGTTTTAACTACTCGCTGTGCCTTGTGTCCTAGCCAGAGAAAACAGGGGAGATTTCGCGACACGACCACTAGTTTTCCCGCCAAAAGAACGACTGCAAAAATTCATACTGATGAGGTATTACAACCCAGATCTGGGTAGTGCTTCTGATTGGATAAAGCGAATTTCCTTCGCGGCACCACGAAGCAGAAGCACTACCCAGATCTGGGTAGTGATACGTCATCAGTATGGAATTTTCGCTCGTTCCTAAGTCGTCTTTTCGCGGTGGCGTCACGAAATGTGGGCTGTTTTCTCAGGCTACTTGTGTCTAACACCGTTTTACGTTTATTACGGAGCACCACTTAATTTGTTTCGAAATTCTCTCCTTTTATAGCATTTTAAGCAACATAAATAACGCTCATCAATCCATGGGCTACTGTCCTCAGTTTGACGGGCTTGATAACCTACTGACAGCCGCTGAACACCTTCAGCTGTACGCGCGGCTCAGAGGAGTTCCTGAGCAGGATGTGAAACAGGTTTGACTTGTTTTCTGTTATGCAGAAAGGTGTTATGTTGGTAGTCTTTACACTAGAGCCTAAATAAGCTAAGAAATATTTCAAGGCAAGTAAATTTTCAATTCTTCAAGTAAAATAAAGCTTCACACTCAACCAATCTTTTTTACTTCAGGTTTACTTAAGCTTATTTTCCCACGCAACATAATTAAGATTGATTTACATGCTTCGCCTTTCTCAAAGCTTAGAAACCGCAAGTTCGCTAAGTCGGTTTTAAGGATGGTTTCAAGTCACTTGAAACTTTCTTGAATCGTTTCAACTTTCCGACTTTAATGAGATGCAAAGTAAAGTTACTTGAGATTTTACTTAGGCCTTCACACGTATTTTTTGGTTAAGTAAAACTTAGAAGCTCTTAAGTCTTAGTTAACAGCCTAGTGTAAAGACAACCGTTATGTTTATTTTTCTGCCGTCACGTCGTAAACTGTAACTATATCTACTGTGCGTGATAGTATCGTAGCCCCATTGTTAAGAAAATTTGGTAATCTATCCATCTGAAAGCTTTGGCTGTGACGTCAGCGTACGCTGAATGAATTGAATTTTTTGTGATTAAGAGGTCGACTTGAATGTGATAAAGTGATTAACGTTAACAATTCAACCTGCCGGATGACCTAAATGTATTGAACTTCGAAAAACGCGCGATAAATGACGTTAAGCATAGACGTCAAATTTAATGCCGGGCTAACATGCGCATGGCAAGTATCTTGAAAATGTTGGATTGTGGGCCAGAAGTAATAATTATCTCTGTTTTCAGGTTGTCGACAGTCTCATTCTTCGAATGAATCTCAGTGAGTACAGAAACAAGTGCGCTGGGGCGTACAGTGGTGGAAACAAGAGGAAGCTGTCCACAGCCATTGCACTGGTCGGCAATCCACCAATCGTTTTCCTTGTAAGTATCCTTGATTGTCCTAAGTTTCAATTTAGCTAATTTGACAACCCCTGCTAGCAGCTCTTTTCTTTTGCTTGCTCGAGAAAGACTGTATGAATCGTGGAAGAATTTTGTTAAGCATACGTGGCGTGTTGGTAGGATATAGTTTCGAACCCAGGCCTAAAAGCCGTGCGCTTGCTACAGCGCGCTTGGTTTATGACTGTCGGCTCATCAAAAAAAGGAAACTCGCGCCCCCCCCAAAAAACTGTTTGACGAGAGAAAACAAGATTGACTAGCCAGAAGTTGGGCTGCGGCGACCTCAGAGGCCGGAAGAGATTCAAGTAGAGCCTCCGTTTTTCCTTCTCGATCAAGAAGACAAAAATCATACGTTTCTGGGAAACCGCCCACATACCCCTCCCCTAGGCCAACATTAGCACTTACTTCTCACTTAGGGCAAAATGTTAGCTTAAGGGAGGGGTGGGTGGGCATTTTCCCAGAAATGTATGATGACCCGAAATCTTCATGTTGAGGAAACTAGCACAATTTTTTCCCACTTGATGACGTGACTATTTAATTGGTTTGTGGTCACAACACACAAATAAGTTACTCACATTGCGGTTGTCCTTTTTGCAGGATGAACCCACAACTGGCATGGACCCAAAAGCTCGCAGATTCCTTTGGAATATTATCACCGGAATTGTTAAGGAGGGCCGCACGGTTATTTTAACTTCCCACAGGTAAGGTCACTGAAACAGTCACTCATTCACTATAGTGAGAATCAATACACAAACCAAAATGTAAGAACCACCTTGGATAGCTTATAATCAGTGCCACAGGAAAGAACTGCCCAGTAGCTTTTATTTGAGTGGTAACTCTTAAGGATTTCATCCACAGACTCAAAAGGTTAGAACCACCTTGTACAGCATATTAAACAGCACTACAGGAAAGTACTGCTCAGTAGCTTTCATTTGAATGGTAACACTTGGGGATTTCTTCCACAGACTCAAAAGTTAGAAAGACCTTGTACAGCATAACAAACAGTAGCACAGGAAAGTACTACTCAGTAGCTTTCATTTGAATGGTCACACTGAAGGACTTCATCCACAGACTCAAAAGTTAGAATCACCTTGTACAGCATAATAAACAGTACCACAGGAAAGTACTGCTCAGTAGCTTTCATTTGAATGGTCACACTGAAGGACTTCATCCACAGTTTCAAAAGTTAGAACCACCTTAAGTACCATAATAAACAGTACCACAGGAAGGTAGTGCTCATGTTGGAAGCATCCTTTATAGCTTATTGAATAAAAGTAAAAGGAAATTACTGCTAAGTACCTTTCATTGAATAACCACACCTTAAAACTGCGGTTACCATTTTTTTTGCAGTATGGAAGAGTGTGAGAATCTGTGTAGTCGTTTAGGAATCATGGTTAATGGACAGTTTAAATGTCTCGGTAGTCCACAGCATTTGAAAAACAAGTAAGTTACTAGGACTATAAAACTTTTCACAGGTTGCGGGCATGTTGCGGTATTTCGCAGTTATAGTTTTAAGCGCATCGTCGGTTAATGTGCGTCAGAACATGTGCCTAGTACCAAATTTTGGGATTCAAGGTAATGAGGCAGGCATCCATAGCAAGCCTGCGAACAAATTAATTTCTGTGCGAGTAGCCCTAGCTGGTACAGTTACACTTAACTTTCATCTTCACTAGAAAAGTAACCCTCTACTCATACTTCTTCCAAAATGTCTGATCAAGTATAGGACCGAGTGGGTTTGGTAGGGAAAAAAACACTTGGTCGCAACAGGAGCCTATGAGCTTGAATTGAATTTTAAACTTAACGCCTAAGACGATGCGCTAGTGTGGTCAGCAGAAATTCATGCTCCCCTCTCCTAGTCCACTCCCCAGAAAAACAACAAGAACTAAACAAAGTATAGAAGGCCGTGTCATGTCACGAAGAAGCCTTCTAATCGTTGTTGTTGTTGTTGTTTTGTTGTTTTGTTGTTTTTGTGTTATTTTGTTTTTTCTCTTTTTCTCGTCTTCCTTTGTCTAAATTACGCTTTGCCGCATAGAAGTGGTTCTTTTGCCATAAGGATTATGACGAATTCGTTTCGGTTTTTCTCAAGGTATGGAGATGGATACACGGTTACTTTGCGAATCGGGGGAGAAGAGCCCAATTTGGACGCTGTGTCAGAATTTATCAGTAGCCTGTTCCCCGGTGCTGTGTTGAAGGTAAGAAATTCAGCCGATTTTGCACTCGCATAGCGTAAAGTAATTTCCCTTTTCGGAAAGTTGCCACGTTGTTCGGACAAAGCGAAACTGTGGTCGGACTTTATCACGCGTGTTAAACGGCAATAGTTCACTTTGGAGTTGCACCATGCCTCTGTTTCAAAGAGAGGCTAAGAGCTAAGACATTCTCATGAAAATGAAACTGAGTTTCATAAGAAGGTTTTGCACTAAGCCTCGTTTTCAAAGTGAGAGTGTTTGGAACTTTGAATTGTCCTATTGTGCGTGGTAGGTGGGAATGATTATTGACTACTGCCAAGAGATATCCTTTGCAATGTTATTTCTTTTGTGTGAGAACTGTAACTTCAATTCGATTTCTTTATTCTTTATCTTTTCGTTTATTTTTATTTATTACAGGACAAACATCATAACCAGCTTGAATATCAGTTCCCATCTCAAGGACTTGTTCTTTCGAAGGTTTTTGGTCATTTAGAAGCTAACCGAAAGATTTTTGACATCGAAGATTACTCAGTTTCACAGACAACACTTGATCAGGTTGGTTAGAATGTTGCTATTCATAACGTTTCAACAGTGGAAAAGTTTAAAACTAAATCGTCAGCTAAGGAGGAACGCACAGTTTTCATTCGGAATTCCTCTCAGTCAAAGAAAATCCTTGCGCACTTAACAGCTACACGTTAGACCTTTCTCTCAGATATTCCGCACTTTCAGATACCTATATCTTCTATGGGTATATCACGAATTGGTAAAGTGAGCGGCT